AAAGTATAGTCGAGTCGATTTACACATATTATGTTACTGTCAAGACATGGATAATCACATAACCGAAAAAGGTACCTATTTTTCCCATAAAAACGTTCATATAATTAATAAAAAGAGAAGAAGCATAAACTCTAATACCGAACTGTGTGTTCATGGTATAAGAAAAGCAATGATTTAAGGAGTGTTGGTTTATAATTTAAAAGGTTTTTTCAGGTAAAAACTGGTACAGTTTAATAGGTTATATAAATTATTAACTTCAGTCGAAGACGGACATAATATAAGTATATATAAAGTCAATTATAATGGAATTCCTAAGACGTTAATCTTTGTCTGTTCAGTCGTATATTTTATATTAATGTAGAAACCTACATGACGTGTGCACTATAACGAAGCTAGACTTATTATCTGCAGGACGTCGGCGTCGGTCGGGTACCTACTTATACCTGGGTATAAAATGTAATATAATGTGTCTCAGACGGGCCGCATTCCACCCTCGTCCCCACCACCCGCCACCCATCGACCCGGAACCCAGCTTATACGTTTTTATTTATTGTAGTTGTACACAAAGGTATAATATAATGCAACAGAGACGACTTCGGCGTCAGCTTGGCGCGTTTATCGTGTACCTACCTATATGGACCACACCTATGTAGCAACAGGGTGCAGCGGCGACGGCGGGGCAAATGCATCTTCACAACAGATATAATCGAACCGTCAAATAAATGTGGGTATTACATAAACGACAACCCGCCGGGTAAATCCATTACTCGATAAATCAGGTAAATGAAAGTCGTTAACCGAGAATTTTTTATCTGTTTACTATGTTGTGAGGATTGGTATGTGGCGGTTATAGCTAGGTCGGTAACACATATTTTTTTTTTTGGTATCTATACGATAATAATCTATATATTATTATACATATGTGTGTGAGTGTGTGTGTGTACTTATATACATAACGGCACTACCCATCAATTAATACTAGTGTCAGAGACTTTCAGTAAAAGATTTTTTTGACGAAAACTCGTTTTTATTATATAATTACCATGCGTGATAAATAATATAACATACCTAGTGGCATATTATTATATATTTATTTACTTATTTATTTGTATTCAAGATAATGGGCTCCAAAAAAACATGTTCGTGTGGTAGCCGGCAAGAGTTCACACTTAAATAGTTAATACAAATGTATACATTTAACGGGCAACGAAGTGCACGGGATCAGCTAGTTTTTCTATAATATTTCTATATAATTTAATATTATTATGTATGAAATCGTGTAGTTAAATAATACAATATAACGCTAATATTTTGTCATTTTAATAGCCAAGATGTATAATCCAATTCACATTGTGGGTTATGATATTAACACGCAATTTTTAATTACCCAAAAAAGGACATAGTTACATAAAAAGTAAAGATATAATATAAGCAAAATAGACATATCATCACAGCTTGGTGGGAATGAACGAAAACTCTCCGGTTGGTCCATTCACCTTCTTACGCCATTGTCACAAATCCCAAATATGATTGGTAAACTTGAATAACGTTACTGAATTACCTAACTGGCTAACTATCATGTTGTAGATTTAAATGTGCAAAAATACGACCTCCTCCCTCAATCAATACCCAAGGAAGTCTATGCGAATATAATTATACACATTATAATTTATACCTAATACATTTTATTACTCGTCCATGTATATTTATTTATTTTAAAAGTCGGTTATATTTTTGTGTGTAGCTGTTTGCGCTAACTCTGCCAATAGTGTCCATATTTAAAATGGTAAATATCACACTGTCGTCAACGTAAATTCTTTGTAAATAATTCAAGATAGCACGGGGACCTAATTCTGCCATTTATTATATTACAGATTGAGTCTTTATACACTAATCAGCATGAATTGATAGCGTAAAATGATAATATAGGTACTAGACTCTATAGTAACTATAAACTAGAGCATAATATTGCATGATAATCATCAGGAGATCTTCGTAATAGCAAACACCGACATTTTAAAAATTAATTATACCGCGAGAGCTTTGGCCAAAATAACTTCGTTGTATCGAGAGGTCCAATACTTTTAAAAGTTGAAGCTCATTTAAAAATGTCTAAATCTTTGATATTTCCAAAGATATAATGAAAGTTTTATTGTGAATAATGGATAAAACCGTCTTTGCCTCAGAAATAAAGTCACAACTCAATTTTACAATAGGTACTTTTACTCTATAACCAAAGTTGAGCAAGTTCTACTCAGACTGAGTAAACGCGTTTTGTCTATGTCGTATGTGTCGTTACGATACTGTCGTATTTACGAATAAAATATGAGTCAAGCCACACTGCCCACCCTATAGGCACCTATCCGTTTATGAAGGACGGGTAAAAACCAAGGTGTATTGATGTAACTTTGTATACGTTTTTGACGAATAGTGATATGGTAACCAAACCCATTCGTTTTTAATCCGTATTAAATTAATATCTGATAATTTATTTTTGCAACAAACCGCGGCCCAAGGGGCCTTTCCAATGGGCGGAGCGCTGATCCACTGCATAGCTCGAACCGCCTTCAGCCGGCAATGGTATAGTTTAAATATCAAGTTAAGACATTATAAAAATATTTTTATAATATAATAGTCGGTATTGACTCGAGAGTCAATATTAATGAACAATAATATATGATGTAAATTATAAATATATACTATCATAACAATTGAATTATTAAATAATATAATAAATGCAATATTTTTGGCCAAAAGTAATTCAACCTAGAGACTGGCCTACCGTATTGTTGTATTAATTATAAAATAATAAAATAATATCAATATAAATGAATCATAAAATATACTATTTAATATTATAGGTATTCGCTCAAAATCGTTTTTAGTTTATTATGCAATGATATTGATTTGTCCTTAAATTCAAATTTAACATCTTAGTATATATGTACATAGTTACTTATCGAATAGCGAAGTAGGTATACACTTGAAATGTTTATATCATAATTTTCTATGTAATATGGTTTAATTTTCAAAATATTATGACACTTTTTGAGCTATTCATAGACAGTAAACGATTTTTTTTAGATTCTGATTGAAACGATGAATGTATTGATTTTACAATGATGTGTGGTTTTTTTTATTTATTTTTTTTGTGTCTGTCATAACCTTTTAGTATCTTTTCTGATAGGAAAGTGATTCTAGTTGGTACTTTGGGGGGTCAAAAGTAAAAATTTAGTAAAAAGTAGTTTTCAAAATCACCTTGAAAAACAAAAGAAAAATTAAGGGAAAACGGGAATTTGTACGCAAAATCTGTATTCGAGAAAACCGATTTTGGTTTTTGGTGCAACTCTTAAACAAATGACCTTAGGTACATGGCATGTTGACTGAATGTTTATATTAGCATTTTCTATAGACCGTAACATTTTTCAAATAATTTTATTTATTTTGAGCTCTTTACGGACATTTTCAGTTTCATTTATTTTAGTCTATAAATATCAATTTATTTATTTGTTGGTTAAATAAGCTTGAACATTTAATAGAAGGCTCCTAGTATATTGTTTCAAAGGCAGATGAAAAAATTTAAAATCCTTAGTCACAATTTTTTTTATAAGCATTTAAAGATCAAATATTTTTGCAAAATACGTGAAAATGACGAACATTTTGCAAATTATTTCGAGTTAGAAATTCATATAAAATTTTTTTTTTTTAAATCTAAAAGTTGAAAATGTTTCCTCATAAGTTGGTCTACCTTTATCAAAAAAAATAGGTCTATAAGAAATTCAAATTAAATTTTTTATGAGCGTTTGAAATTCATATTTTTACAACATTTGATATTCACTCGATTTCTCATGTAACGATTTTCTTATTTTCTTATAATTCAAAAACGAATAATTTTAGATACATGAAATTTTCACTGAATGTTTATATTAGCATTTCCTATATACCATACAGTTTTGAAAATATTTTGACTCTTTTTGAGCTGTTTATGGACATTTACAGCTTTCAATTTTTTTTAGTTTTCTTTTCTATAAATATCAATAAAGTTTTATCTGTTGGGCCAAAAAGTGTAAAAATGTAATACAAGGCTCCTGATATATTGTTACAATAGCAGTTGAAAAATATTAAAAATACATAGGCACAGTTTTTTTTTATAAGCATTTAAAGATCAAATTTTGACAAAATTTATCAAAATCTCGAAAATTATCAATCATTGTAATTAATAAATTATAAAATGTTCAGTTTTTATAGCTAAGGATTACAAATTCAACACAAAGGTTCTCATAAATAGTTCATACTATAACCAAAAAATCTAAAAATATATGAACACACTTATTTTTTACAGACATTTTAAATTCAAATTTGGACGAAATTACATACCTAGAATAACTATTTTAGTTATTTTGTTGTGATTGAATAATATATTATTCGTGGGTACTTGAAACTTCTAAAGTGTACTATTATATATCTATGATAGTATCACGGATTTTGTTGATGTATAACGCGTTACCAGTACTTAATGGATATTGTGATATGATTAATTTGGAATTTATTATAGGTACCTATTATAGGTCAATTTTTTGTTTAATACCATAGATATGTATATAATATGTCTTATACATAGACTGACATACCGTCTCCGCTCAGAATCGTTTTTCTTATACAATGATATTATATCGTTTGATTTTTGTTTGTCCAAAAAGTGTAAAAATGTAATACAAGGCTCCTGTTACAATATCAGTTGAAAAATATTAAAAATACATAGGCACATTTCAAATTTAACACCATAAATACATAGTAAAAACAAGGGGGATGTTATGATGGTACCACTGTCCTTCAACATGTGTGTGTGTGTGTGTGTTAGGACGCCGTATATATTGTTTTTGTAACGACCAAACATAGCTATTCTCATATCAGACATCAGACGCCATACTATTTCAAAAAGGTTATTCTAAAATATTGATCTATTATATTTTTAAAGATCGTACGAAATTGGCACAGAAATGAAATTTTTAAAGAAGACGATGTAAGTACCTTAATAATATTTATAGGAGTCTAACTTCCTTTCTTCCACTGACCGATCGGTTTGACATAATAAATTCCGTCAGTTTAATTTCAAATTAGAAATAATCATGTCAAGCCCTTTGTCAAATAAAAAAGTGACAAGGTCCCAATGATATATTTTTAGTAAATAATTGGATTTACTATGGTCCTCGGATGCGACTCTTAAAGAGCATTAAAGAATATTTGTGAATATACTTGTGGTGTATTTCAGGAATTGTATAAAAGCAGTTATTTTATTCTGGACCTGCATCATAGCTTTCCATGCATCGGTGACCGCTCACGTGTTTGATGATTTCCCATCGGAGAGAGGTCACCATTTTGATGATTGGGACATAAGTGCAATAAAAGTAAACTCTTGTGGAGGAATACTTAAAAGTATTGATATACACTATGAGTTTATACGTAATGCGAGGACCAAGTACCTCTTTGATATGTACAATTATACAAATTTTAAATTTGGTATGTGAACATTTTAGTGTAAAACTGTAAAAACTACATTATACCTTTACTATATTGATCATTATAATGTAATTGAGTGTTTTTTTAGATGTCCGTGGTCCACGTGTAAAGACATTTACTTATGATACATCGCCGTGTGATGAAGGAATGAAGCATAATCTTCAAACAATTGGAATATTGCCTGGAAAAAATAATGATTCTTAGCGGGTATGGTGCCAATTATATATTTTCATGATACCTATGTTTTTTGATATTGCTTTTAAAAAAACTTATTTTCCCATTAGTACCTATAACGAAAAATTGATTTAATTTTTCCCAAAATGATGCGTTTTCTTATTTCACATTTGTATAAAACAATCAAGAATTTCGCATGCCAATAAAAAGTTCAAAAATAGTCGATATATTTTGAAAATTTTATCTTGTATGGAAAATTGTCACCATCAGTTTTTGAATTGAAATTCAATGTACTTAAATGTATTATATAGTTCTCTTTAAACTTAAAAAAAATGTTATATAAAGATCAGTAGAATAATAAAAAAAATTGTGGACCTCTTGATGGTGAATTTGAAACAATTTGAAACAAAAAAATAACAATTAGGTAAGTGTTACTTGTGGTGGATGAAACAAAGGTGGTACATTTTTCCCTTCTGCTTTTATTTTTTTGGTATAACTTAAATAGCCAGATTGTACAATTTACATATAGAAACAAAACATTTTTGGGCATATTAATATTGTTTTTATACTCTTAATTATTTATGTCAGTTTAATTTTATTTTTCTTAAGATTATTTTGTTACTAGAAAGATACTAGTCAATTCATAAACTAAAAACTATTATAATGTTTATTATTTATTAAAATACTTTTTTATGATATTATATCATTGAATTCAAATTTAATACCATCCATTATACAGTGACCCACTTGTAACCTACTGTACAGCAGGGCGACTTTTTTGATTTTGCTTTTAAAGAAACTTATTTTACAATTAGTTCCCATCATAATTGTATTTTGAATTGAAATTTAATGTACTATTTATATTTAAAGAAAACATACCTAGATATCTAAATTATTACTATTCAAAAATTGATTTTGTATGAATTAAATATTTACAGGTCATACAATAAGACCAGAACTGGCGTCAACAGTCAAGCAATTACAATTCAATCAATCAAAAAAGATCACAAAAGAAATGTCTAAGAAATTAACAAATGGATGAATTTTAAAATAATTATTTACATTTACAAAATAATTATTATGTTCAATAGTAAACATCTGTATTGCTAAGTAATATAAATATAACATTTGTTTTGGGTTAATTCAAAAATTTAAGTTACATTATTTTTCTTTTAAGAGATTATTTTTTAGTATAGGTATTGACAATCACACAATAGATTTTCATGTTTTAGTTCTGAGTTGATCAATAAATGTAAAGATTTTACAATGATGAGTTTATTTAGTTGGTATATGTAAAAAAGTGCCTACATATTAACTTTTAAAATATTTCGGAAATATTTTTGTTTAATATTTATGAGTGGTATTTTTAAATTAGAATTTTCTAGAATTTTTATATGATTATAACTTGTTAGATATGTAAAATGTACATTCATTTTTTTTTGGTAATTTACCGAAAAAAATGTACGTACATTTGGTATGTTACCATAGGAACACCCCCAGAAACTCCTCTCTACCACATTCCCATCAACTTATAATTATGGTAACATTTATTAGATTCTGAGTTTTCATTTTTTTTTTTTTTATAAATATTAATAAAATTTTATTTGTTGGGTAGAGAAGCTTAAAAACTTAATAGAAGGCTCCTAATATATTGTTTCAAACACGGATGAAAAATATTAAAAATCCATAGTCACAATTTTTTTTCATAAGGATTTAAAGTTCAAATATTGAGAAAATACGTAAAAATGATTGAATTTTACAAATTATTTCGAGTTAAGAATTCGTAAAAATTTTTCTTTTTAAATCTAAGGTTTTTAAATGTAATACAAGATTCCTTATAAGATTATCTACCTTTATCAAAAAAAAAAATGTCTATAAGACAGTCAAATTAAATTTTTATAAGCGTTTGAAATTCAAATTTTTACAACATTGGATATTCACTCGATTTCTCATGTAGCGATTTATTTATTTTGTTGTAATTCGAAAACTAATAACTATAGATACATGAAAATTTCACTAAATGTTTATATTACCATTTCCTATACACCATACACTTTTGAAAATATTTTGACTCATTTTGAGCTGTTTACCGACATTTTCAGTTTTCAATTTTTTTAGTTTTTTTTTTCTATAAATATGAATAAAGTTTTATCTGTTGGTCGCAAAAAGTGTAAAAATATAATACAAGGATCCTGATATATTGTTACAATATCAGTTGAAAAATATTAAAAATATTAAATATTCATTAAAGATTTCTTTTTAAATCTAAGATCGGAAATGTAATACAAGATTCCTATATATTTGTCTACCTTTATTAAATCAAAAATGTCTACGAGAAAGTCAAATTAAATTTTTATGAACATTTGAAATTCATATTTTTACAACATTTAATATTCACTCGATTTCTTATGTAACGATTTCCTTATTTTGTAATTACAAAACGAATGACTATAGATACTTAGAAATGTCACTGAATGTTTATATTAACATTTTATATACACGATAACATTTTGAAAATAATTTGACTCTTTTTGAGTTGACAAAAAAAAAAAAAAAATATTTTTAGTTTTTTTTTTCTATAAATATCAATAAAATTGTATTTGTTGGGTAAATAAGGGTGAAAATTTAATGCAAGGATCCTGATATATTGTTACAATAGCAGTTGAAAAATATTAAAAATATATATTCACAATTTTTTTTTTAATCATTTAAAGATCGAATTTTGACAAAATTTATCAAATTTAAAATTGAATAATTATTTTGTAGTTTAAAATTTATAAAATGTTCAACTTTTATATCTAAGGATTGAAAATTTTAATCAAGATTCCACGTAAGTAGTGTATTCTGTTACCAAAAAATACATAAGCATAGTTTATTTTTATAGTAATTTTAAGTTCAAATTTGGACTAAATTACATATTAAGGAACCTATAATAACTATTTTAGTTATTTTGTTGTAATTGTATAATATTATTCGTGGGTACTTGAAACTTCTAAAGTATACTACTACCTATATATCTATGGAATGGCGGACAATTTCCCCCCGGACATTTTCCCCCCGACTGTTTTTGGCGTAGTAGGACATTTTCCCCCCAATATATATTCGATGCGAACATTTTCCCCCCATTTTTTTTTTAAGTTTATTATTTATTATTTAATAAGAAATTATTTTTTTTCAGTAAAATATAATTTTTTTTTATAAATATAATCAATTATACTATAATTACCTATTATAGTAGATGTATATTTTTGATTGATTCAACTACTCGAAACAATAAAATAATAGTAATATTATATTTAAAAGATTGTCTAAATAAAAAATAATAGTAAGTACTAGCATACTGTATTAAGCATATTTTATTACCTTATTATTTATTCGCTAGTAACATTGAAATCTAAAAATGTATCTAAAACCCAATCAATTGCTGGGCTGTCAAAAACTATCATATTATTTGATTTATTAGACTATTAAGATAAGATTCTTCTACAATCTTATATCTTCATGAGCAAAGGTTTTGCACTTTTGTATAAAAATTTTTCAAAGCAGTTGTAGTCATTTAGTAGTGGTTTAGTGATTGTAACTCGTAATTCGTAAAGTGAAAAATATATAAAATAAACATTTTTTTTGTCTTATTATATTTATGAAAAAAAAAAAAAATAAAATTTTTAACCTATTTTACTTACCGTTACACAATTACTTTACGATTTTATTATATTTATAAAAAAAAAAAAATATGAAATTTTTAACCTATTTTACTTATTTCCATTTTTTTGTATGTCTTATTATATTTATGAAAAAAAAAAATGAAATTTATAGTATACATTTATAAAGTTAATTGTAGTAGGTATAATTGATTATATTTATGAAAAAAAATAATTAAAAAAAAAGGGGGGAAAATGTCCGCATCGGAACATTTTTCGGGGGAAAATGTCCTACTACGCCAAAAACAGTCGGGGGGAAAATGTCCGGGGGAAATTGTCCGGATACCATATCTATGATAGTACCACGGTTTGTTTTTGATGTATAACGCGTTATAAATGCCTAATGGATATTGTGATATGATTAATTTGGAATTTATTATAGGTAGGTATCTATTATAGGTAATTTTTTTTTTTTAATACCAAAGATAAGTATATAATATAATACCTAGATTGACATACCGGCTCCGCTCAGAATCGTTTTTCTGAGTGACCCACTTCTAACAGCAGAGCACCTTTTTTTTGATTATCTTCGTCCGTTTACTTATACACAATATAACAATATATAAACGAAATCCGGAATGTTTGAGTTCGGAAAGTAGCCGATTTCAAAAGAATTATTTTATATTATATTTTTGTGTAGGTACCTTTTGTAGGTATAGGTATTATTATATTATGTATAGTAACCGGGTCGATGCCGACGTCCCGCAGATCATAAGTCCCCTTTCAATATCGTCGTATACCTTTATTTATATAATATACGACTGAACAGACAGTATTAATACTTTCGGGTCCGAAAAGAACATAATATACATATAAAATATATATAGGTAGGTAGATGATCTCTACATACGTGCTCAGGTCCGTCTATCACATGCTGTTTAATGTTTTATATCGTGAATTGTCCTCCTACTATTGTATCTAAGGAATTCAAAAATGTCGATGATGTAGGTCCGTATTATTGTTGTGAAAAAGATAGACACAATAATATCATTGGTGAGTGGTGATTCGAGAAATTAAATATTAAATATTTTTATGAACTACCTATATTCTTTAAGTCCCATTTCAATAGTATCGACGCTGTAGGTCCATTTGTCGTTGTGAAAAAATATATAATAATATTAAAGGTTGCTCAATGCTCGATGAATGTTAATGCCCAAGTATACTTTAAAGTATTTTTCTAAATTCAACTTTCAACATCTGATGATACATTTTTATATGTTCTGTAGTTTTGTGAAAATATTTACGAATTTAATTCGTATAACGTTATATTATATTATATTATTAGCGATTCGGTCGATATTACATACTAGCTCATTACCTGTGACAAAT